CATAATAAATCATCTTTAAGGCTAGTAAAAGATAAATTAGGTCTGTATCCTCAGTATGAGAAGACAGGTAAATAGAATTCATTCCAGGCAGGTTTTCATGAAAAATTATTAAAAGCAAACAGGCTCATAAAATATATAAAGTTATATTAATGTGTTAATTACTATTTTAATTATCTGTTAATAGTTACTTCAATTACTCAAAACAATTTCTTTCTTTCCAGAATGGTGACGTCAATATATTACTGTATTTTATCTCCTACTATATCCCTATTAATAAAACTAGGTACAATGTAGATTTTTAGATTTTTGAACTACCAATATGCAATGTATTTTTAAATTAGACAATAAGTAGTAATAGGCATTGACTGAAGAAATCAACCAACCCTGAAAGACAGCTGCAGGGTAAGAAGTAGATTTTATGGTTTACAAAGAGAGGGAGAAAGCATCAGTAGAATGCTATTTCTAGAAATTCTGCCTGCTACTCTGACACTGAGGGGATTTTATTGCTATGATTTATTTATTCTGAAGCCAAATTCATTTTCTCAGCTTTATTGCTACATCTATGACTCTGAATTAGGTGTGTATGTGTATGTATAGCTGTATATATATATTTTTGGCTTATATTTCTGAATATATGTATTTTTGGCTTATATTTCTGAATTAGAGTGAACTTCAGAAGTTATCTCCATGTGGTATATATCTTTGACTCATAAAATGATTTTTAAATTTTTTTTAATGTTTATTCATTTTTTGAGAGACAGAGATAGAGTGGGGGAAGGGCAGAGAGAGAGGGAGACACAGAATCCGAAGCAAGTTCCAGGCTCTGAACTGACAGCACAGAGCCTGACATGGGGCTTGAACTCACAGAACACAAGATCGTGACCTGAGCTGAAGTCGGACACTTAAACGACTGAGCCACCCAGGCACCCCAACTCATAAAATGATTTTTAAAAAACTGAAATGTTTCATCTAAGAACCTTGTGTTCTATGTGAACTTGCAGGAAAAAAAAAAAGACACTCCAGATCAAGCATTCAGCCAAAGTCAAAATTTCAAAGAATAAACAAGTAAATTTGATATATGTACTACAGACTTAATTGTATTTATTCTAGAATATGAGATCCAAATGATATATGCATATAACAAAAATTGGAAGCATTTTGTATTAAAAATTCAGTGGAGCTTATCCTGAAATTTGATTTTAAACCCCAAGTATGTGTTATTATAGTTATTGTTCAGAATAAATAAATCAGCTGTGATCTAATAAGGACTAATAATGTGGTTAATACCTTGCTAGTTCCTTGGGATCACTGTTGCATACTTTCTGACATAGGAGAAAAAAATTTAATACAAACTATTTACAAAGATATAAACTTTAAAGAGAATCTTTCTTAAGCCTATTATGTAAAAACATGCTTTACAAGCAAGTTTAATTTTTTTCAACTTTTATTTCAAATTTGTTATCTTCCAACCAACATTTTACCTCTGGTCCTGGAGGGCCACATGGTCCTTGGGGTCCTGGGTCACCCATTTGGCCCTAAAATGGGGGTGAGAGTCAGCATATAAGCATTAACCTAATAAATACAAGTTAAAATGGAGACAGACATATGGTAAGCAAACAAATCAATGTATTATGCCACACAAAATTATAATGGCTTTTTAGCAAACAGCACTCAATATATTATGTCAAACAAGGTTGTAACTACCATTCAGAAAGACTTAATTTGTAACCATCATCTCTGTGGAAAACTTACTTTTAAAACGTGTATGGATGTAATATATATTTACTCCTAAGTGCTGGAGATACAAACAAATTACTGAGTTAAGCGCTCAAGTCAAGAAGAAAAGTGTGTGTGTGTGTGTGTGTGTGTGTGTGTGTGTGTGTGTGTGTGCATTATCCAGAGATAATAAAGTTTGACTCAACAAGGTAGAGGACTCTAGATGAGGAGTTACTTTTATAAATAACCAGAGTCCTGGGACTATCCCTGAAAATTCCTCTTTCCGTTGATACTACAAGGGGCCCGATTTAGCAATCAAGAATTATGTGGATTTAAGTCCTTGTTGCTTAATCTCTATTAGCCTCAGTTTCCTCACTAATAAAATAGGAAAATAATGCTAACAGTATTAACATTGTTACAGAGTCATTGTGAGGATTAGAGACAATACATGCAAGGTTCCTAGCACAGTGCCTGGCACATAGAAAGTACTCACTAAATGTTAACCAATTCTATAACCATTAATTATTCCCTTCATGTCCTCTATCCTTTCCTGGATGATACCTATAATTCCTAGATTGTTTGATCATTATATTAAAATGCTGAGGATTTCTTTTCAATATCTCTGAAGCCATTTTCTGACTTCATTTTCTGACTTCATTTTCTGACTTTCATTTGGATTAACGAAGTGAAATCAGGGCCAGAGAGAAGATTCAGAGGAGAGACAAGTGGTCATAAAGCCTGAAACTAGAAAGGGCTGGCAATCTTCTCAAGAGATTGAAGTATAGAACAGGGGGGGACCAGTAGTCTAATACCCTTGTTTTCATAAGAGAAACTGTTGAATTCATTATTTCTGTCACATTAAATTTCTATTCAAGTTTCAGATTTGACTTAATAGGCCTCAGATTACATAGAAATACAAGATATAGTATGCATTTATTCACATCTCAAGAAGTAAAGCACCGTTTTCCATAAGCACTAAATCCATTCTCATACATTGCTTAGATATCTGAGTTTCAGGACATAAAACAGTACACAATGAAACTACTGCAATCAAATTTAGAGAAAATTAATAGTATTACATAAAACTTCATTTAAGTTCTCCTAAGTAAACAAAATCATCATCTGTCATAATCAATATCTAGAGGAGGCTTACATTATTAAAATGGCAAGTACCTCTCTTAAAGAGATAAAGATAGAGCTCTCACTGGAGACCTCTGGTGGCAAAAAGCAAACCAGAAGCTAAATTTACAAGCTGTGAAGGAAAAATACCTACTAGGTCTTTGTTTTCAGAAACACTAATCGACAACCAGATACTTAAAAACACATTTTGGAATAATTTCGTTCATTCTTCAGAATGAATCTTCACTTTGAAAAACTTCAGCTGGAAGTTTCCTCAAATGTCAAGTCTCTTTTATAAAAACTGAGCTTTCAAGTAAGTTTTAGACAAGGGAGTAATGATTACATACACCTCTATAATTGACAGCAACTTCTAGTTAAATGTATGGAAAGAACATAATAATTGTCTTTGTTTTTTTTTTAATTTAACATTTATTTATTTTTGACAGAGAGAGACAGAGCTTGAATGGGGGAGGAACAGAGAGAGAGGGAGACACAGAATCCAAAGCGGCTCCAAGCTGTGAGCTGTCAGCACAGAGCCTGAAGTGAGCCTCAAACCCACGAACTCTGAGATCAAGACCTGAGCTGAAGTCGGACACTAAACCAACTGAGCCACCTAGGTACCCCAATAATGTCTTTGTTCTAAGGAAAGAATATTTCTTAACTTCTGATTGGTAGTTTTCTCTAGTTTTTAAATGCTTGTAGAGCAAAAGCTTCCTTATTGCAAAATGTAAAAAGCCTTCCAAATCAGGACATTCCTTCTTTTAGCTTGTAAATACTCTTTCACGTTACAACTTGGATTCATTTGGGGAAAAAAAAAGTCAGTAATGTCATCATCTTGGATAATAGAAAACCCAAAGTAGGAGATATAAAATAAGAAAGACATCCTTATGACTATGGCATTCTTTTCATGCTAGTAAACAAATGATTTAGATAGGCACTAACTTGTATAGTTTCTTTTTAATAGATTGAGTGCAAGCAATTTTTCATCCAACAACTGTCTCCTTCCATAACTGGGAAAAGTTTCCAGGTCAAACCTCTACAAGTTTTGTCCACTCATAAGATATAAACAAGTAATAAATAAAGTTAGAAACTAAAGATTCTCACAAATATTAATTCTTAAGTTTTTATCCTATCTTCGGTCCGATATATCATTTTTTTCAAAGAGTTGATAAAACAAAAAAATGGTCAAGTATCTCCTACCAAAGTCCCTGCCGACATTAAAAAATGTGTTTTTTTTTTTTTTACCAGAATAATTAGAAAGGTACAAAATGAACAAGCAAAAAGCCTCATTCTTATCATCTTATGCTCCCTGAATCACTGCCCTAAAACACACATTAGAGTTGGTTCTGGTGATTTATTCCAGGAAAAAAAAATTAAGGGTTTTAAGACCATGTGTTAAAGATGAGACAGGTTCTCTGCCTTTTCTGTAGCTGAGACTAGAGAAATACTGGCAAACACTATCCTGAGAGAGGCAACTAAAGAGTCACAGATTTGCAAGGAACCTTAAATATGATATAGTCTCTCAGTTTAAACAAGAAATTGGATATCACAGTGGTTAAATGCCCTGGGTGATAGCAAGTCAGGGCTGGGACTAAAATCTAAGTCTCTGTTTCTCAGACCAGTATATCCCTCCCTGCCCAGCAATAAACATGTTATCAATACAAACTGTGTCAAAAAGTAAGGGGAGGGGGAGACATTAAAAAGGTTTACTTTGTATAAGTACGTGAAGCATAACAGAATATTGGTATCATTTATTACTTAGTATTGTCCTTAGAAAATGTCTTGTACCAGCTCCTTTTATTATTATCAGAAGTCAGAAAACCCTCACACAATGAACAATGAAAATACAAGAAGTTAGGGTCTTACTTTGCCAACCATTGCAGATACGGTAAGTTCCTGTTACGTGGTTTAGAATCATCCTTGAGTAAAGGCTTTTTGCCAGCTTCATGACCTACTCTCATGTCCCTTATTTATGCACTTTGTAACTTCTAATATTCAACTGCTGAGCACAAGTCTGGGTACATGACTGACCAAGTATACCCTGAGTCTGAGGCAAAAAACTAAGAAGAGCAAAGCTTACCATTAGACAAACAAACAGATGCTGAAAACGGTTCTGTGGAATAAATAATTCCTGAGAGATGTACATGAAATGCTTGCACTGTTAGAAGCCAGACAAAATGGGGTATATAAAGTACTGTAACTTAAAGCTGCTTGCATCTGACAAAAAAACAAACAAGCCTGACATAGGAGGGTAGAGTTAGAGGGAACACGAAGATTTGCTCCGGAAAACAATAATCTTTTTTAAAATGTACATTTTAATGTTTTTTAATAAATTATAATTTTCCGTCTAACTTTTTCTATCTACAATCACCTTCACCTTCATAGAGTTGTAAACAATATTAAAATCCTAAAACAATCTTAAAATGTTAAATTCTCAGACAGTATGGCACAGTGGCTAAGTGCATGAGCTCTGACATAGGTGATTACCTGGGTTTTCCCAGGTGGCCACCAACTAACTACCAAAACTTGGGCAAGCTGTTCAACTTTATGTCTCAGTTCCCCTAATCTGTAAAATAAGAATAATAACAGTACCAACTTTATATGATTTATGTAAAGATTAAATTAGAGGCATAGACTTTCGAATAGACACTGGAACTTCGTAAACACTCAATAAATCTTAAATATAATAACTTTTATGATTTTTAATATATAGAGACATACTTTTAACTCATGTTTTAACCATTATTTAAATGATTTTAATTACTCAGTAATTTTAGTTGTATACTTTGTTGGGTTTTGTGTTAACTACAGTACAAGGTATCCTTTCTTTTCAACTAATTGATGCCCAAAGATTAAAAAAAAAGACAAAGAACTAGAATATTTTTGCTCACAGAGTGTGACATGCTATCTTTTCTTCACAATACTTTTTTTTTTAATGAAATACATTGGAATGAAAGATATTTGGAAAAATTAAAATAGTATTTAAGGTGTTTTATATTTTCTGTTTTAAAAATTCCATGTTTACTTGAAATACTATCCATGATAGATCAACCAAGATCTTTAGGGCTCTCAGAAATTTGGCTTGGCCTGGGATGGGGGGCGGGGGCAGGAGGATGAGGTCCAATACTCTGTGGAATGTGGGCTGAAAACTTCAAGGATTAGGTGTACCCTAAAAACTGAAGAGAAAACAATGCCAGCCTGGTAGGCTTATATCTTACTTCTTATATTCCACTAATACCAACAATTGTCAAGACTCCTGCCATGCTGTGCACTTTGTGAATCATAAAAAACAAAGCAAAAGTTCAAACCTACTGAAGGTCCTGGCTTTCCTCTCATCCCTGGTGGTCCTGGAACACCAACAGCACCCTAAAAGAAGAGAATATTAGAGGAAAGATAGAAACTCTTTCACCAAAAAAGGCAGATGTGCCTCTATTTACGAATTACTTAAAAAATTCATGGAATTAATCCAAGAAAACTGAGAAACAAGACATGTAAAACCATATTGATACCATATCCTAATAAACTACATGGTTAAAATAATGATTATTCCTTTCTTTTCAAAGAATTTATAGTTTTTCACGGACTTTTTTTTGTATTTCTATAAACTTAATGGTGAAAAAAAGTTACCTTGTCTCCAGGATACCCTGGTTCTCCTGGCTCTCCTGCAATGCCTTGCTCACCCTAGAGGGCACAATTTTATACAAAGACATTTAAGCAACACAAACATGGCAATATTATACAAAAGTACAAATGTTTATGGAAGAACAGCTTCTTTATTTTTCCTACTTCTGAGAAAAATTGTATAACTGACAGTACAGATTGGATCCCATATATAAAAACAAAATATTTTATAAGTTGTGTTGACTGAAAAGAAAAAAAATAAATGTGATAAGAAATTAACTCTATGATAATGTAAATATTTAAATCACCTTATCACCTTTGATTCCAGGTAGGCCCTTATTCCCAGAAAGACCCTGAAAAAAAGAGGAGATGTTTTGTGACATTGTAGAGAAATTAAAGGGAGATATCCATTATGTAGATACAGACATACCACAGGGCCAGGAATTCCAGAAGGTCCAAATGGTCCAACAGGGCCAACACTGCCCTGAAATGCAGTAAGACAGAAAGGCATCATTAAGCATACACTAGGATTAGAAAGAGAAGAATGTAAACTTGATTAATTAACCCAGAACAGTTCGTCTCACTAAGTTCCTACATGTGCCTTGTTCTTCCACAATTTCTTTTTCTCTCCACATGTATAAATTATACCAATCTTTGAAACCTCAGTGAGGTCATCCTACTCCTGGAAGCCTATTCATACTGGTCAAGTCCACAAGGATCCTCCCTTTCCTTTAGCCCCTAAAATGCTTAACTGTCCATAACATTCATCTTGAAATATTTCTCAAACTAGTTAAAATCTTGAAGATAAGGGAAATATTTTAGTGCCATGTTCTTGGGATGTATTTGATAAATACTTCATTTGATCATCTTATATTTTTATTTCACCCATTTATTCAGGAAATACTTTTTGGGCAGTTACTATGTTCCAGGCATTCTAATGATTTTATTTCATGATCTGAAATTTGCAGAATGATAAAATGCCATAATCTCAGGGATAAGCTGAGTACTGAACGAGACTACTCTTCTGGGCTTCTCTCATTCATTCATCATTTAACATTCGTTGGGCATAACATGTACACAGACACTGTAGAAGTGTTGAGGAAACAGATGAAAGAGACATGGTCAGCAATGCCAAGGTTCTCAGTTTAGTGCTCCAATGCAAGATCTCTCAAAATCTTGCATTGATAGGTAGGTAAGAGCCTTAGGAAAACTCCTCAAATACTTCATCTTAGAAGACAAAGGACAGTAGCCACAATAAGGATATTTGAAAGTAAAATTTGAAAAAATGGCTTGGGGATCACTTACAAGTTTTGTGTCAATGACACCTTCATTTTCCTTCTTTCTCTTACTACCTCCCTGTGCCTGGCTTCAAAGAACAAGTTGCTTTAAACCTCCCTTTTATGGTTCCCAAATGCTAAGAAACTCTTAAAGGTATATGTATCACAGTGCTCAAAAATGTTGCTCCTTTTAGTTATAATTCAAATTTCTCAGGAAAGCATCCCAGACCCTCACTACCAGGTTTCCACCAACTCTCCTAGTTTTCTCTATTTCCATTTGTCCTTACTCCTTCTTTACGTCTCCCTCCTCCAAATCCTACATTCTAACCACAATGGACTGTTTTCCATTGTCTGAACATGCTCTCTGCTCTCTCTTTTCACATGCTCCAAGCCTTTGAAGATACAGTGACCAATACTGAAATGGCCTTCTACTGCACTTCACTAGTGAACCAGCAATATACTGCACTATATACTT